GGAAAGGAAGATAGAGGACGGTGGAAGGATGAAAGCATGTGGTTGTCAAAAAAGAAATGCCTAACTGGGAGGAGTGCGAGGGCATGGAGAAAACGTCAAAGGAGGAGAAAAAATGAGAGAAAGTGGAAAACAAACAGGAAAGAAAAAAAGTCAAAGAACAACATGCAGGAGTCGCCCTGAAGGCGCTTGCTGCTGGTGTCCCTCTGCATCCTTTCCATTTATTAGGAGAAACACATAAAGTTCATGCAAGTTAATAAAATGGTTCAGCTGTAGGATTGTTACATCGCTTCTGGAGACAACTCTCAAGATTATTGCTTTAATCACAGAAAGTACTCTTAATGAAAGTAGAGCCAGTATGAGTCGAGAGGATTCCGGGCCTTTCGGTCTTGGAACGCCATCCTGTTGAGTGGCGGACAAGCTTCATCGCTCTAGATCTGCAGGAGGTGCCTAAAAACTATTTTTTCTTCTAAATCTTTTATTCTGTATCAGGGCACGTTGTATGTCTCTCATCCTGTTTATTGCATCGTCTTGATTTTATTTTATACAGATGACTTATGGGCTGCAGGATGAAAACACGACCCCCCCCCCCCCCCCCCCCCCCCCCCCCCAGAAGAAACTACGCCTTGTTTCAATGATTTTAGAATGCTGAGACTTTTATTTGATTAAAAATGCATTTGTTAAAAAGTAAACTTCGAATTAAAAGTATATACATACTTGTTCTTTGTAATAGTCATACTCCTGCAAAGATTACACATTAGAAACAAGACAAGAACAAGACAAAGAAAAGCTGGTCTCTTCTGACACACACACACACACACACACACACACACACACACACACCTTTCTTCTGTCCACCCTAGCCCAGTGCCCATGTCCTCTCCTTTAACCAACACTGCCCCTACCAGTGCCATCACAAGCCTCTCAGCCCAACAGTACCCTTCACCCTCCCTGTCTTACTCTGCACCCCACCCTCTCTTACGCCCCCTAACTTTTTGTAGTTGCACTCTTTCACCGACACTATAAAACAGGTCTCCCCTCTCATCATGCCAGGCCGGAGGAGACAGATCGAGACAGGCTGGCCTCCTCCTCTGACCTTATCTGACCACGTAACCCCAGCCTCTATTCAACCAAGGGCCAACAGAAAGAAAAGGAGGGTTTGAAGTGGTGATCCCTGAGTATGTCTGACTGAATGCTGCTGAGCCTAATACCCACTAATCTGGTCATCAAATACCCCTGCTGCCACCACTGAGATCTGTTTTCGGCCTGACAACCAGTCAGGGAAGTCCACCTGCCCAGTAGGAGTAGTCTGGGATGGAAGTGAAAGAAGAAAAGAACAAAAAAGAAGATGTGATGAGAGACAGAGTATGATTGGGTGACCAAAGATCTGTTTCTGAAGATTGTTTGACATTCTGAAATGAAGCAAACAATTTAAGTGTGAAGCAACAGCTCCAAACACAATGTGCAGAAAGTTTTTAGCAAGAAAAAAAGTTTTGCATTACTCTGAGTATGCCTCCTGATGAATTTGTAAAGGATTCCCTCCTTTTGTTGGGATTTTGTTATGGAAAAACTTATGTTTATTAATTCTTGATCATAGACTCAATCAACTGAATGTAAATGTATTGCTCTATGCTTCTCTGCATGCCCACTCATTCAGACACACACACACACACACACACACACACACACACACACACACACACACACACACACACACACACACACACACACACACACACACACACACACACACACACAATCTCTCCCTCTCCATAAATAAACTCTGTGACCGGATGTTCGGTGCATTTTGCCTCGTGCATCTGCCACAGTTATAACTGTTTGACTTGTTGTTCATTGTCTCCCTTTTCTCTCCGACTATAGGGAATGGGTTATTGATAAACATATTGATAAAATCCATGACAGTTTTGTAAAAGAAACAGTGTAAATAAAACATGTAAACAGAAGAATTGAATAAGGTTCACATTGGCCAGCAGCCAGGCAGCTGTTGGCCGTCTGTGACCTGATTTTAGAGACCCACAACAAAGAAGGAGTGACCCGAAACCAGAAAAAGCACCTTAAGTCAAGAATCAGGGAACAGTTTTCTGTTGGATCCTGTTTGACCATTTTACCCCTGCTTTCCACAGGAGCCGTCAGCAGCACGTTACTGCAGCAGCACGTCTTGCTCGCGTAAGCTGCTGCTTGGCCCTTCCCACGAGACGGGAAGCAGCAGGGGAGCAGCTGTCACCGACAGAGCACGAAGTCACACGAGTGACTTTGTCAGTAAACACAACAACAAGCAGGAGAAAACTACAACATGGTTTGTGTTTTATGTTCTGCCCGTTTTATAATCGCCAATACGGACCTGAAAAACAAAGGAGACCGCTATCAAGGTGATAACTTCTCACGGGGCCGCACAGTTAGTAACTATTTTTAAAGTAAAGCAACCGGAAGTCAGTACGTTCTTTATTCTGAAAATCTTGGGAGCTTCGCTCCGTTTCTGCGTCCGATTTCCTGTCTTTCCTTCCCCAAAAATGTCGAACTTGACCCGTTTCAGAGGCTTACCCCGGCTTTCCACCGGAGCTGTCAGCAGCACGTTACTGCAGCAGCACGTCATAGCTGCTGATAGGAACTGCTGTGGTCAACAGAACCTTTTCCACTGGAGCCGTCAGCAGCGCGAGTCGGCCGCGTCTCAGGAGCAGCATGTCGCGGCCTTTACGCGCCGGTTCTATTTTCTACGTGCGACGCCTCTGAAACGGGTCAAGTTCGACATTTTTGGGGAAGGAAAGACAGGAAATCGGACGCGGAAATGGAGAGAAGCTCCCGAGATTTTCAGAATAAAGAAACGTACTGCCTTCCGGTTGCTTTACTTTTAAAAAAGGTTACTAACTGTGCGGCCCCGTGAGAAGTTATCACCTAGCTAGCGGTCTCCTTTGTTTTTCAGGTCCGTGTTGGCGATTATAAAACGGACAGAACATAAAACACAAACCATGTTGTAATTTTCTCCTGCTTGTTGTTGTGTTTACTGACGAAGTCACTCGTGTGACTTCGTGCTCGGTCGGTGACAGCTGCTCCCCTGCTGCTTCGCGTCTCGTGGGAAGGGCCAAGCAGCAGTTTACGCGAGCGAGACGTGCTGCTGCAGTAACGTGCTGCTGACGGCTCCTGTGGAAAGCCGGGGTTAGCGCGTAGAAAATAGAATCGGCGCGTAAAGGCCGCGACATGCTGCTCCTGAGACGCGGCCGACTCGCGCTGCTGACGGCTCCGGTGGAAAAAGTTCTGTTGACCACAGCGGTTCCTATCAGCAGCTATGACGTGCTGCTGCAGTAACGTGCTGCTGATGGCTCCGGTGGAAAGCCGGGGTTAGACCAAACAGATCATTAAAATATAAATACATACAGAAGTCCTGAATGTGGGAGCACCGTTAGCTTCATGCTAATGCATTAGATCAAATACAATTTTCAATGTGGCTCCATATACTGATGATGTATAATCAATGCTTAGTACAAACAGCACTGCGCAAAAGTTTTTAGCAGGTGTGGAAAAAATCAGCAAAAAGAACATTTTCATAAACATGGATTAAGATCATGTGTATAAATAAAAATCAAACCATTTTGACTTAAAATTCCCACTCGTAAGCCTCACGGATAGCCTTAATAACCTAACCTAAATAAAGTTTAGGGCTTCGTTTGTGGGAATTTTTCTCACTGTAAGTCAGTCAAATGCAAAGTTCAATATGTTTGATCTTTGCATTTATGAACAAGATTCTGCAATGTTCCATGATGACGTCTGAAGCAACCCTTGATCCTGATGAAGGACAGACACTAACGAGTTAAATACAGACTAGATGGGCATCAAAACAAGGACCAGAGCAAGACACAGACCTGACGACCTGAAATGATTTCTGACCAGGTTAGAAACTTGAACCTGAGCAGAAATACCTGCCTGCACACACACTTCATCCTACTGGCTGTTTTACAATGAAGCAGTGATGAAATGATCAGGCAGAAAGAACCCCCTCCCCCCATTTAAACACCTCCACCACCCCCAAAATATTGTCTCTGAGCAGACCATGACCCTGGTTTTATATGGGCTGGTGCAGATTACAACCCTCTTGTCTGACTGGGAGTCTGCTGACAGATGGCTTACAGTCAGCCACATGCGAGGGGGGGGGGGTGTTAGCTGTGGGCATCCTGATGTCCATCACGTATATACTGGATGCCCACCTCCAGCGGAGATACAAAACCTGCCCTGAAGTAGTTGTCATTACCCCCCACCTGCAAGTGTGTGTGCGTGTGTGTGTGTGTGTGTGTGTGTGGGGGGGGGGGGGGGGGGGGGGGGGATCCTCTGGGGTGTCCAAACGTATCAACGTCCCAGAGGACCACAAACATTTTTCTTTTTTTAAATGTGAAAATTATATTAGATAAAACTTTTTTATCTGTTAAAATAAGCTTCATATTAGTGCAATTAACATGAACAGATGAAGCTCCAGCTGAAGAAAAATGACTGAACAATTCTGCTCTTGGGGTCCGCACAAAATCCATGCAAGGGCCGCAAATGCCCCCCCGGGCCACACATTGGACATGTCTGATCTGATTCAGGATCCTGCATCTGCCCCACTCTGAGTTTACCTTGATGACTTCATGCATTTAGTTTCTCATAAAAATCCCTTCTGATCATCAACAGAGGACCAAGCAGGTTCGGGCTCATGCCGACTTTAGACGTGACACCGAACATGGGAAGCCTCGGGAGGCGGGGATCGGGTTTCTTCTAGTTTTTTCTCTTAGGATACAAACCCAACACAGGCTTTCACATGAATAAGTTAAACACAAAAACCAGCCAACCGCAGGTAGTGTGCAGGAGCGAAGCGCACCTTTCCCACCTGGGAATCCTGCGCCAGCTGGCGGGGAATACGCAGCCGGTAGAAGTAAATAACACAGAACCGGAACAGATTTGTACGTTTAACGAACAGCTGAGCATACACAGAGCAGTCCTCCAGCTAGACTTACCTTGGTGGCTGATGAGGATGAGGAGCGCAGCCAGCAGCATATCAGCGCTGCCCATGGTGAAAGGAAAACGCTCAAAACAACTGATCTAACCGTGAAAGGGAGCGGGTCCGGTTCGGCCCACGGTCCTCACAGATCCATCATGCTCCGGTGTGGTCCTGATGTTTGAGAGTGGTGGAGATCCGGTCCCGTCCTGGTGCGCAGCTCCGTCCGTCCCGCTCCTCTTCCCACAGACTGGAGCGGTGCGCCACCCACCGCCCAAGGTCACACCGGGCTCCGCTCCTAGAACCTGCTGCTGCAGAACTCACTGCTGGGACGGTGGGCCTGGAGGCTGGTGGTTCTGAACATCCTTAACTAACTGACGTCCAGAGTAAATATAAGAACGAATAAAGCTAAAAAAAAATCACGTGGAAAGAAAGAGAAAACATCGGAAAGCTAAAAGAAACTAAAACTGTTGAGCTGTAGACAAATGAATAAGAGAGAGGCTGCACTGAGTCAGCAGAGAAAAGCAGAATGAAAGAGGAACACGCTGAAAGGAATAATAATTAAAAACACAGTAACTTGAGTTCAGGCTCCCCGCTCACCCATACCTGTCAAGTTTTGGATTTGAAAATAAGGGAAGCGAGCCAACCCACCACCACAACCGAGCTCTGCTGTCTATTACATTGTTACAACAAATCTATAATAACCACTTTTCAATCACTTACTGCAATTCTGTGAGCAGAATCTGATAGGCCTTTGTTGACATTGAAATGCTGTGAACATTCTGTTATAATTCAGCCTAAATGAAAACACAAAAGGGTGAATGAAGCATATTGATTGATTTTACATTTTTCAGTTTATTTACAAATCAACACATTACTTCCTGTTTATTTCACATTGCTTGCCTTTAAGTTAAACATTTACATTTTATTTTCATTACACATTTTCGTTACATATATCATGTTCACTCATGTGGCTCTCTGACATTCACTAATGACTTATCATACACACGTGTTGCAGATTTAGCATTCTTTAACACTTTTTTGGAAGGAGTGTATTTGTAGGCTGGGCCAGAGTGGTTGATTTTACATGACAGTAAAGCACAAACAGTGCTGTTGTCTAATGACGTCCTATTCTCTGTAACGATCTTTCTCACCATACTAAACACCCTTTCAGAACTGGCATTGCTGTGGGGAATGCAGAGTAAAGCCTTCATTAATCTCGGCAGCTCACTGAACCTCACATCGTTCCCTAGCAGACCCCCAGAATCTGTCAATGTTGTCTTCTTGGGGGAGTTGCTTGCTATCTGTCACCTGGTAGTCAACGAGTTCCTCTCTCAGCCTATCTTCACTCAGGCTCAACTGATGGAACATGGCCCCTGGCCTTTCCACTGTAAAATAAAGAAAGTGTTGCAAATCTAAACCATGCAATATTTCATCAATTCAATCATTCTATCAATGGAGAACTGCCCTAACATCTACCTGGCCCTGGAGGAATGTTGAGGCGAGCAGCAGGGTCAAGCACTTTCAAGTCCCTCAGGAGTGAATGGTCAAGGGGAAAGGAGGAGAACATCTTCTGAAGCGCTGCTTCATAGAACCTTCTCACAGATCTACAACAGCGTAAGAGTAAAAAACTGCATTAGTGGCAGCATTTTAGGCACAGTACAGCATATTCTCTCATACTGATGATGGCCATTATAAAACTGCTGGGTAATGTACTTACTGAAAGATGTTCTCAGTGGACATGGGAAGCTCTACGCTTTTCATGAAGGCCTTTGTGTCTGCTCCAATAAAGAGCTCCTCATCAGCCAACTGAAGTCCTTGTCCATACTCCACCTCCCTGAGAGGTATACCTACGATGGTCCTGGCTGGTATGAGGTGGCCCAGGATCCTCCTGATCAGCCTGCTCATTTCCTCTTCATGTCTGTGAATTTGTACTCCCTCTGACTGTAGAAAATATCATGGGTCACAACAAAATATCAGTGAATTAAGAATGCTACAATTAGCAAAATCACATTTAATGTTTACACATACATTCAATAACACTGACACCCACCTGGAAGTCAATATTAAAATCAGATAAAGGTTTAAGGGCAGCAGTCAGGAACACAAAGTAGATCTTCATGACTGGATCACACAGATAGCTGGCTAAATCATGTATTTTGGTGCTCCTCTCCACCTCCTCATGACTGTTAAAGTAGTCCCAGAGTACACAGGGAAACAGGGTGGCAATAGTTAAATAAAAGGAAAACACAGAATAGTAAGCTGTATGCATCTGCTGGAGTTACCATCCTTACCTGCAATGCGTCCCACTGGTTCAACACTCTCTGGACACAGGTTAACAGACTCAGCCATCAGGTGCTGCAGTACCTGAGGAGCTTCAGGTGGCCTGAATCGGTAAAATCTACAAATTCTTTATAGATTTCACATCTTTTTGCACTGTAATACAAAAAATGATTTAGTTAGTGGCTGGAAATGTATGTGTATGTTTGAAGAGTATCAACTGCAGGCCTATTTATTTATATGAATTTACCTTTTATCAAAGTGGGTGTATATCCCAACCAGGAAGTCTTCCACTGGTACCTGTGCTGCTTTGATGGCGCAGCCAGTGGCCAGTTGTGTTAGGTGGCAGATGCAGCCAAGGTCCTGGACGTGGGACTGGCTGGTCTTCAGTCTGCTGACAACAGAGTTGTGTCTCAGGGGTGTGTCTAGGGGGTGACCCAGTGTAGCACATGCCACCCTTGGAATCTGATTGGCCACCCCACTGAATTTCCTTTAAATAGACTTGTCCACAAAACGCTTGGGGTAAAAAAGATAAAGCATAATCATTGGTGCCACCCAAGCAAAAAGAAGTGCACTATCTGGGCCACCCCATTTTAAAAGATCTAGCCACACCACTGTTGTGTCTGCCTATCATGGCACTCGCATTATCAGAGTTAAAGGCTATCAGGTTCTCCCATGGAATGCCTCTTTTTCTATTGGAAACAGGGGAAAAAAGCCATAAAATGTCTTACACTAAACGTAAGGTTATAATTACTACACACGTCAACAGCACAGTGCAGCTCCCCTACCTTAAGGCTTCACTCAGCTTTTCATACAGATTTTCTGCATTTCCCACATTGCATATAGGCATCTCCATGAATTTTGTAGCAACCTGCAGAGTGGCCTCGTCGTAGAGTCTGGTCAGGATGATGAATTCTTTGTCCGTTTTTCTGTTGTTTCAACTCGTCACACATCAATGAAAAGGGCTGCGATCGGCATGTTTTGGCCAACTCATCATCTAGCTCTGCTGCTATGGCACCTGTTGAGTGAGTGCCCAGTAATGTTAGCTAACAATTTGCCACCAATATGGCTGCTGGACATGATTATGAATATGTATACGCTTTCATAATATTTATACTTAATTTGAAAAAAACGTACCTTTGATACAAAAAGCGTGACTTTGTCCCATCCTGCTCTTCTTTAGAAAAGTAAATTCGCTGCCCCATTTTTCTAGATATTTACACAATTTCTTTGATTTTTTTGGCAGGAATGCCTTCTTCACTTCCATCCATCATCGTTCTCGTTTGTTGTTCCTGTTATGTTCCCGCTGCCTGCACAATTCTCGCGACAACCAGTTCTCGTGAGGCTACAGATAATTTTAGAGAGGCAGAGGAATTTTAAAAATACGGGAGATTTACGGGAAAATAATAATTGGGGAGGACGGCAGGAAAGCAAAGTAAAATTCGGTAGTTTCCCGGCCAAAACGGGAGATTTGACAGCTATGCGCTCAGCAACAGACCCCAGACCAGTTTATTGAGTCAATACGGCTAATATGTTTATGGTATATTAAAGTTAGGAGTAAAAACCAATACTGATATTTTCCGATATTATATTTTAAGGCCAATATCGGCCAATAATATAGGTAAACCATGGTAGACCTACTGGATATTCTGAGTTGTAATACTTCTGTTCCGGAGAGAACCCACGCATGCACAGGGAGAACATGGTCTCCAAACAGGAAGGCCCCAGGTCAGGATGTGAACCCAGGACCGTCTTGGGGCAAGGCAACTTTGCTAGCCTGGGCTTTGCACAGATGTTAGCATATCACGACTGCTTTGGCAGTGAGCGATGTCACTGATCAGCACCAAAAAACATCTATAGACATTAATGACATTAAACGTTTTATTCTGTCAAAGTACGACGTAAGTCAAAAGACCGGGGTAGCTGTTGTGTGATGTAAAATGTGATGTTCAATGACCAGAACAACCACCGTTTTTTACAGTGCTCTGTGAGAAAACAAAGCCCTGTGTGGTTTTTGGTGTTGGGAGTTTAGTAATGACAATTTAAAAGCAGCGTGAATGGTACTTATTTTCTTTTCCTTCCATACGGCTGTAACATCAGGAAATGGACTGATTTTAAAGATCCCACAGGTCATATGCAGCTAGAGCAAACAACCCTGGCTACTACATGTCCTGCTGTATCTTCCCTTGTCAGGAGGCTGTGAGTCTGCACAACTCAGCATTTTAATCGGATGACTTCATCAGCTGAGCGCAGCTTCATCAGATAATAAAGATGAACAGTAGCATTCCTTTCCCCAAGTTCCTCACAAGAGAACTCCTAAAATAAACTTTTATTCCCAGAAGAAAAGAAGATTTCATAATATAAGTAATCGTTTAATATTTCAGAATAATCCTTGAAGAAAAGAAGATCTTACAAGTAATAATCACTAAATATTGCCATGTATAATTATAAATGATGAAATGTTTCATGAATCTGTGCTCTGTGATGTCTCAGTAATGTGCTCAAGGTTTAGTAGCATTAGGTCATCTCCCTCATCACACCAGACAGCAAAAATTAAGAAGCATTACACATAAATTAACCTTGACCCCCAGACTCAGCGGCTCTGCATCACAGAGTGTGCGTTCTGAGAATTCTTGACAACTTTGGTAATAGATAAACAGCGGGCTATAAAACCAGCTGCTCTGTTTCCGCCCGGAGACAAGTTCGAACTTCCAACAGAACGAGGGTCAGAGAGCAAAGCTTTAAGACTGGCCATCTTTAGCTGAGCTACCAAAGGATTTTACACACTGTCAAAACCTTAAGCTTTTGCACCTGCAAAGCCGAGAACAACGAGAGATTTTTCCTGCAGAACAAAGCTGATTTTGCAAACTCCTTCAGAGGTAATTTTGAGATGCTCTGGTTTCACCCAGTCCACCTGTGTTACCTGGAGCAATCCTGGACTGACCTGGTCATACGAGGAGTTAGTCTACGGACTTCTGTACCCAGGGTCTCCAACCCCCTGACATTTCGGATCCGCAAGGGCGCCTCTGCTTGGGTAAATAGAACACAGTGATAGCGTATGTATGCAGTTTGGTAATAATAGCTCATAGCTTAGCTGCAAACCAAATTATTAATATCCAGAACTCACCTCTGAAGATACAGAGATTCTGATTCATCTGTCACGAGCAGAACTCAGAAGACCCGTGAAGACGCCAAACACAGTAAAAGTAGATAGAAGTCTTTTATTTGAAGCGATGCGACCTCCGGGACCACCGCTGGAG